TAGGAAACCCCCTCCAAAAAACACGTTTGGAATTGTTTCTCCCAGCCACAAGTAGTTGTGTATGTTAGGACTCAGACTAATTTATACTCTCCCATTGGAGAGGGAATGTATTCTCTTTGCAAGGGTATTTTTAGCAACCACATGCTTCTGTCTCTCAGGAAGCAACAGCTGAGACAGTGGGATAGGGAGTGCTGGTATGTGTATTTTTGACCCCTTCCACTGTCATCTGGCTTTTTCCAGAAATTAAACAATGCTGCTTTATTTTTACCCTCTAAGAGATGGACAGTGTGTTTAGAGGCAGGGAGAGCAGCGAAACACGTGCCCTGCAATCCTCTGCCTCTTCCATTGCCACTGGAGCCTGGAAAAGGAGCGTCACTTCCTAAACATTAGCAGCAAGCACACAGAGCAGCGTGGAAGGAGCTGGAAGAGCAGCAGTGGTTTGGCACGAGCTGCAGAAATAAGAAGGACATTTAGATATTTGCACACTTCTGGATGCAATAAATACTTTGAGATTACAAAACATTTGAGGGCTTCTTACCTCCAACACTGGAAGAGATGACTCAAGGCCAAGATGGATATGGCTCTGGGCAGCCTGGTCTGGTGGTTGGTGACCCTGCACATGGCAGGGGGTTGGAACTAGATGATCATTGTGGGCCTTTTCAAACCAGTCATTCTATGATTCTATCAGAGAATTTGCCCCACTCTAATGTAAAAGGGGGATGCAGGACAACCAGAGACAACCCAGTCCCTTGCTTTGTCTTCTGTCCCCAGCAGGCAGTGTATGTAAAAAGGAAGGCTTCCACATATAGCAGTTAATCTCGCTATAGAAATTGATCCCAGTTTAGATTTTCATTTAGCTTTTATTTTTTTTTCCTCTAATAGCATTCTGTGAGGCTGGTTCTTGGCCATCTCAACTTCCTACTGCTGGGAAACCTGATTGTTTCCTTCTGGAAAAGGAAGCAGATACAGATACGCCACACAAATGTCATTATTTGCTCTTCTAATACCTCTTTGCTGTACAGAAAAACAGAACGGATTAACAGGGAAAGCAAGGCACAGGGAGAAAAGGAGGATAACTCTTGTGCATCGCTTGGCTGTGAAAGAAATGTTTTGCCTAGCCAAAGACACGGGAACTATTGCTGTCCACTTCAAGACAGTCTCAGAACTGCTTCGCATCTCTGAAAAGCTTCTGGCAAATTTCCTTTCCTGCAAATGAAGTACTGCACTTCAGTTCCATTATCCTGAGTTACAGTCTGCCTGAGCGTGCCAAGCACAAACAATATCAATCCACAGCTCTATGGACTCAGGATGATCCAGGTGCTCATGTGATTATTAGCAACATTTCCTTAGAACCACACGACTCCAGCTCCCACTGAGGCTGACAGAGCTGGCTGCACGAACCTGCTCATATTTATTCTGTGCGGTGCATACAAATCAGCAGAAGCAATCAGCCGCTGAAAGCAGTCTGACTTTTAATTGCAGCAGTCTTTTGGTGTCACGTCCAGATCCTCAGTACCGCAGAGCACGGGAGGCGATGCGGACGCACTGGGCGGGGCGCGAGGCGGGCTGCGCGCCCTGAGGGGAGGCGGAAGGCGGGCCGGCCGTGCAGGGGGTTTAACCGGCCCTCAGGATGAAGCGGCGCTGGGCTGGGCCGTGGGAGGAGAGCGCTGAGGTGTGCTGGCCCTCAGAGCTCAATTATAGCCGGCCCTGGCCCGCAAAGAGGCTCCGAAGGCGGCAGCCCCAACGGCGAGGTGAGCGGCGGCGGCGGGGTTCGTGTGATCGCACCCGCCGTCCCTGGGGCTGTAAGTGAGGGTGCGAAGCTCCGTGTGGAAAAGGCGAGGCTCTGAGCCAGCTGTCACCCACAGGACCCCCGTGTGGAGGCTGCCTCACATGTTGGGGTATCCATCAGTGTGTCACAACCTTGTGTATTTCATTTCCAGCCTCAAATCTGTGCCCCGTGTAAGCTAGATGTGTAACACACCGCTCTCTCAAGATCCTGCTGGAAGAGAAGCGGCTGTTTCGTGTCCTCCCTGCAATATGCATCGTGATGTGACAGGAATGCACTTGTGCTGTTCCCTCTGTGAAATGTGTGAAGTGTTCCCTTTTGTGTGATGCCCGTAGCTAAAAGTAACATGAATTTGAACCCACAGCAGAAATTAATGAGCAAAGTGCAGTGGGAGACTTGTCTGTGTCCCAGGTGTGTAAGAGCAGGCAAGGTGTCTGACAAGTCCAAAGTCGCTCTGAGCTCTTAAAAGCTGGCCTTCAGTTCTTCAGAAAGTCTCTTCATAAGCCAACGTCATCCTGCTAAAGATCTAGCAAGTGGGGTGAAAAAAGCTGAGCTTCCAGGAATGTCAAATCATTCATAATGGGTATACACAGTATTTGTGTATTTGTGTTTTGAAAGGCTTTGGTTCGTGCTTTTAAGCACTGACTGTTCGATTTATAGAATCGTTTGAGTTGGGAAGGACCCTTACAGGCAAAAAATCCATGAACAGGGACACCTACAGCTAGATCACAGTGCTCAGAGCCCCATTCAGCCTGACCCTGAGTGTCTCCAGGGATGGGGCATCCACCACCTCTCTGGCAACCTGTGCCAGTGCTTCACCAGCCTTACATTAAAAATCTTTTTCCTCATATCCAATGAGGAATCTCTCATCCAATCTCTTCTCTTTTAGTTTGAAACAATTTCCCCTTGTCCTGCCACAACAGAACCTGCTAAAGAGTCTTCTTACTTATAGCCCTCTACATACTTTAGATACTGAAAAACACCAAGCCAGCCTAAATAACAATGCATAAACATGGCCTTTTGTGAAATATTTGAAACATCCATTAACAACAGATTTCCCCACTGCCAGTTAAATTTAGTAGTACTCTGTTGAACAGAAGTAACTCCAGAGGAATTAATCACTCTTAGCTTAAAAACTGACAGCTATTTTAAGCAGCCGGCTTTTGGGGGAAAAAAAGTATGTATACTCAAAGGGACAAGTTATGAACGTGCTCTTGTTATGGTTAGGTTTAAATTCATTTTTTCACTTACACTTTTTGAACTGAGTTGTCATGTTTCTGAACTTCAGAATATTTTGAGCCAGACAAAGCAAGGATCCCTGGTTATATACATACATATTTCATTCATGGCCAGGCTGGATGTGGCTCTGGGCAGCCTGGTCTGCTGGTTGGTGACCCTGCACATAGCAGGGGGTTGAAACTGGATGAGCACTGTGTTCCTTTTCAACTCAGGATGTTCTATGATTCTATGATATGATTCTATGATTATATGGTTGCCACTTAATAGAATCATAGAATCATAGAATCATAGAATCACCCGGGTTGGAAAAGACCTTAAAGGTCATCCGGTCTAACCACAACCCAGCCACACTACCCTAACTCTTACAACCCTCTGCTAAATCATGTTCCTGAGCCCACATCCAAATGGTTTTTATACACATCCAGGAATGGTGACTCAACCTCCTCCCTGGGCAGCCTATTCCACTGCTTAACAACCCTTTCTGTAAAGAGGTTTTTCCTGATATCCAATGTAAATGTTGCCTGGCGCAACTTGTGGCCTTTTCCCCTCATCCTGTCACCTGTCACCAGTGAGATCAACCCTGCTCTCACTGCAATCACCTTTGAGGTGTTGGAAGAGAGCAGTAAGGTCTCCCCTCAGCCTCCTCTTCCCCATACTAAACAGCCCCAGTTCCTTCAGTCTCTCCTCCTAGGGCACATTCTCCAAGCCCTTCAGAAGCCTTGTTGCCCTTCTTTGGACCTGCTCCAGCACCTCCATGTCCTTCCTGCAGTGAGGGGCCCAAAACTCAACACAGTACTCAAGGTGAAGCCTCACCAATGCCGAGTACAGGAGCACGATGACTTCCCTCGTCCTGCTCACCGCTCCATTCCTGGTCCAAGCCAGGATGCCATTGTCCTTCTTGGCCACCAGGGCACACTGCTGGCTCGTATTCAGCTGACTGTCCATCAGTACACCAAGGTTCCTTTCCATCAGGCAGCTTTCCAGCCACTCTTCCCCAAGCCTGTAGGGTTGCCTGGGGTTGTTCTGACCAAAATGCAGGACCTGACACTTGGTCCTGTTGAAACTCATACAGTTAACCTTGGCCCATCAACCCAGTCTATGCAGGTCCTATGCCAAACAGAGCTATGATGTGAACATCACTGAAAATTTCTGGTTTTATATACTTGTTAGGGGAAGGAGGGGAGGTATTCATTTCTTAAATACAAAACTAGAAATAATTTTTGGCCTTGGAAATTTTCTATGGCAACATTTTTTGCTAATTTGTTTGCACACCCAGATGCTTTTGAAACACATATTTTTTTTAGAGAAGAAGGATGTTTTTTTTTTAAGGGGTTTCTTTTGGCTCAGTGGCAAGAAGGTATGAACACTGGATACCTATAAATGTGCAGTTAATCTGTAGTTTACAACCATGCTTTTTCAAGATTCAATATGTAGAACATTCTCATGCTATCTCCCTCCTTTTGTATTCTGCAAATCTTCATTCTCTGCATACAAGATGGGGGAAAGGTATTTGTTAGGAGACCCAAGGAGCAAATAGGGAAATAGGGCTGCTGTCTTGTGGAAATAAGTTAATACCTGGCAAGGAAACTAACAGCTTATCCTGCAGTAGTTAATTAATCTAATGGTAATGTTACTTTAAGAGAAACCAGCCTCCCCACATAGACTTCAGTCAGCTTTCTGTTTCTGTGCCAATTAACATCTTGATTGCCTTTGAATGAGAGCAGCTGGGTTTAAATATGCCCATGGAAATTTTTAAAAGTAATAGTAACATCAGTATGTTTTCTGAAATTCTAAGCTTTTGGTTTTGTTTGTTAGCTTGCTTTGAAACATCAACTCGCTTTTACTGCAGTAAGTTGCAAACTCTCTTCTAAAAGCAGAATGGCTGATTTCAGTCTGCTTCAGCTGTGCTGATCTGGCTCTGCTGGGTGTGTTGGGATGTAGGTAGCAGAAGTCCTTGAGGTGATCAGAGAGAGAGGGCAGTAGGAACAGGAGGCTGGGGGCCAGCAGGGAGAAAAAGGAAGAGAAGCAAGGAACTGGGTGATTGATTTACTGTATTTCTATCTTAATGCTTTCAAACAGTTTCTGTTTCATCCACAGCACTGTCCAAGGGAGCCAGTGAAGTGTCTGTTCCTGTTTCACCCTGGGCAAAAGGGTGAGCAATCAGTTACCATCAATTGTAAGCTCCTCTTGTTGTGTGTCAGGGCAGGTCATGGGTCTCTCAGGTGCTAAAAAGTGGTTAGCACTGTTTTGAGTTTAGTTTCGCAGTGTCTGGGCAGTGCAGTAGTTAACCCTTATTTGGATGGTGTAGTTGTATGCTCCATAGGCCTGTGCCTGTGCAGGGTTAGGCACATGTCCTCATCAGCTTTGTGGTAGAATGTGGCGTTTGAAGATGCCTGTAAATGTTTTTAAGTTATCTTTCTATACCGTTCTATGGGGGAAAAAATCATAGCTGTATGCTTTGGATGGTGAAGCTAGTTTTAGAAGTGTACTGGCAGTTCAGTTTTTCAGCATTTGTTTTCAAAGAACAGAGTCCAATTTGGTGTTTATTTGTTTTGCAGTCCCCTGAGCTTTGACAGTGGAAGAATAATAATACAAATACAACACTGACTAAACTCACTTGAGAAAACAAAAATGAAGTACTACTATATTGTTTCATTAGATGAATGTCTTTCACTCAGCTGCAGAAATGGAAATCCATCTGGTTCATCCAGGAATTCAGTTCTGTAATACCACACTTCAGTGGGTTCGATGTGGGTTTTAGAGCCTGTTACGTTTGTCTGCTCTCCCTCAGCTGGATGTCTGTGGATATCCATTCCCGTTTACTTCCAAGGTTGCTTTCTGACTTTCATTGCATAGCAACCATATTTGCATGCTGTATTGTGACCAAAAGGAGCTGGATTTCAGCAATGCAGTCTGCCTCCAGTTTTGTGCAGCTGATACTCTAAGAATTCAAGCTTTTGTTCATCTTTCATGCTGTTATTTAGGAGGAGTACAGTCACCTAATGACAAGCAGTAGAGTTTGCCACCAAATAAAATTACTGCTGGACAGCTGAGATGAGGAGATGCACTGTGTGCAGGCTCCTCCCTTCCTGCTTGAGGACTAAAGCGAGGTAGTGCAGTGCACATGATTTGAATTAAATGATTTTATTTGTGGCTGGGACAGGCTTCAGCATGGACTGTCAGGTGCTGGCCTGAGACTGACAGATGGAACCCTGGCAAGGTGCAGTGACCCCACTGTTTGTGGCCATGCCTTGGAGAGAATAACGTGGGTCAGAAGTCCTCTGTTGATGAGTTTTAATTGTTGAACTTGACTCCACCTATTTCTCATTGAAATGCTATGTTTGCTGCTGGCACTTGAGGGCAGAACTTGGCTATGTCATCTTCTGTTTAATACTTTGAATTTGAAATTTCATGTCTTTGCCTTTAGGGATTTCTCTAGCCTGTACTCTTTCCTTACTACATGATTCTGCTCTCAGTCTTCTGTGTCCTCGAGAATTGGGAAAGAAAAATTAATAACAGACAGAGGCATGTTTGGGATCAGGAACACTTGGCACCTCACTCTGGAGCCCAGGGAAGGAGATGGTTGTTCTGATATTTGTGGAGGTTCTTCATATGTTAAGGAACATTCTGGCTGCCTGGAAAAGAACCTGGAGCTGAAACAGGCTGAGATTCCTGGTGTGGTGGTGCAGTTATTAACATTACAGATTTGAGAGGCCTGGTAAGTTTATCTGCTTGATCTCTGTCACCCAGGGCCAGCCCTCGCTGTGAGTGAGGTGACACTGAGAATGTGGCCACTTCTACTAAGGTACCAGTCTGGTCAGTGGGAATTCTGAGCCTAGAAACCAGAGAAAATTCTTACACTTCTTCATGCTGCCCTGGAAGATGTCTAGCAACCTACCAGTTGACTTTATTGTGTAGCATGATGGTTAAAAAAGAAGTATGTATATATATACACATATATGAAATCTTGTCTCTTCTTCCTTAAGCGTTCTTATTCCTGTCTTTTTATTAAGGAGCAGTCCCTCTGTGACAAGCAGTAGCTGGTCTGTTTGGCAGTGAACCATCATTTTAATGATACAAAGCTGACCTGAATAGTTCTGAATTGATGATAGCTGTGGCTTTATTTTGAAAATTTTTTGCTCAGAAATGACAGGGTCAAAATAGCGGTCCTGCAAGGCCTCTGCTTGAATATCTGACAGGTTTCTGATGGTGTGGTTGTGAACAGCAAGGCAAGCTGGTTTTTAAGTTTCTCTCAGTTGCCAGGAAAAATGTCTTGTGCATCTGAAAGCTGAAAACCTCAAGTTCAACTTACTATTCATAGAAGAAGCTGTGTGCAGACAGTGGTAGCATAAATCTGCCCATGCTCTGTCAGTTTTGTGTGTGTCACAAATGGTCTGGAAGCACAGTGAAAAGAAGGGACAAACTTGTTCTGAACCCTTCCTTGGAAGTGAGCAGTGTGATTTAGTGAAGGGGACTGCTGATGTGTGTGGGGAGGGGACTGCAGTTACCTGGGTCACACTGAAGACCATCTACAACTTGGAGCCTGGTCAGGGTTTAGTGGGAGTTGCACTGGTTTATTCCTGAATTTGCATTCATGCAAATTCATCCCCCAACCTGGGGGATGAAAGGATTGAGCGCAGCCCTGCCAAAAAAGACCTGGGAGTGCTGGTGGATGGCAAGCTGGATATGAATGAGCACTGTGCCCTCGCGGCCCAGAAAACCAGCTGTATCCTGGGTTGCATCAAAAGAAGTGTGGCCAGCAGGGTGAGGGAGGTGATCCTGCCCCTCTGCTCTGTGCTGGTGAGGCTCTGAGATGACCTGATAACGGTGTGTCAGTATCTAAAGGGAGCTACAGGAAAGAAGGGGGCAGACTCTTAGCAGGATCTGTTGTGATAGAACAAGGGGAAATGGTCTCAAGCTCAAAGAGGGTCGATTTAGGTTAGATATAAGGAAAATATTTTTTATGTTAACAGTGGTGAGGCACTGGCACAGGTTGCCCAGAGATGTGCTGGATGCCTGGAGGCTTTCAAGGCGAGGCTGGATCAGGGTCCTGAGCAACATGCTTTAGCTGTGGTGTCCCTTGCAGGGGAGCCGGACTGGGTGGCCTTTAAATGTTCCTTCCAACTCTAAGGATTCTATGATCCTATGCAGTTTGTTGTAAGACAGAAGAGGAATGCAAAGTGCAGGGCAAATATGTTTGCCAGAAAAGCAGCTAAGACTACAGAGAACAATAAGAATACGTTTATATGTACTGATTTTCATATGGTTTGGGTCTGAAGTTACGAGATCACGGGCTTTATGGCAATTCATGCATTTCAGGGGCAAGATAAGTTTTCAACTAATGCCAGGAACCAAGTAATTTTAGGATTTCTTGTGTGGACCAAATCCTGTTATTGTGTCCATCTTTCACTCCCATGCTTGAAGGGGTGACCTGTATAAATCAGTAACTGTAGAATATTGAATATGGCTGGATGACTCATGCTACAGAAAACAAGGAGTAGTTACCTGGCCATTGTAACTCCTGAAAATAAAGCTTTTATTAGGAAATGTGTTCATGTATCAAGAAACAATGGTAAGCCATGCCCAGACAGAGGTATTTCCATACCCATTTTGATTGTGGCACTCATTGGAGCAGTTTTTCTCCATATAACTAAAAGAAATAAATAGGTGTGTGGGAAATGGGTGCAACCTTTGCAAGCTTCTGAGACCTCTTGGCCTTATCTCATGCACTGAGCTGCTCCCTGACTTTCTTTACGTCTCTTCTTCAAAATGTATTCCCATATTTGAGTGTGTGACCCAGTCTAACTACAATACTTCCTGTATTTTAGGCCATTAATCTAGTATATCTGAGAGTATGACCAGAAAACCTAATGAAGCTTTATCTTCCTTGATTTTAAGGCACCTGAAGACCAAGTACATGCACAGTAATATTCTTTCAGTCCACGAGAGCAATACCTCTATATGTAGGAAGGTGGAGGTGGCTTTACAGCCTTGCTCTGAGGCTACAATAAGGCATGGTATGATTCAGTGGATGAACATTGGTTCCCTCATCTGCTGTGTGTGAATATTCAAGTGGTCAATGTTTTGTAAGCAAAGGCATGCAGGTGTATCTTGTCCTGTCTCCTGACTGGTTTTTGTTGTTTTGTTTTTTTTTTCCAGGATGTTCAGATGAAATATTAGATGAGGCAACAAGGCACCACCTATTCACTGACACTTTCTGTAGGGTTTGCTGTGCGGTGCTGCCGTTTGAATCCCAAAGGATGTCACACTATGAGGTAGCCTGGACGAGAGGATTTCTCCTAGCAAGTACTGGGGCTTTGGTTTGTTTTAGGTTTCTGTATGGTGTTAGAAAAGGCTGCTTAAAGCCTTTCCCAAAGCTTATGCTGGGCTTAGACATTAGCCAGACTTGAAGTTTGTGAATGATGTGGGTTCAGTGGTAGTGAAGAGCAATCACCTGCATGTTGCAGGGCGGTTGTAGAAGGAACTGGGTAGGTTCAGGCCATGCTGTGTATGGGATGGAAGCAGATTTGCACCATGTGACCCAGGACAGAAGTGTGGCATGGGGCAGTGCTAACTATAGAGAGTAGGGGTTGTGCCCCTGATGCTTTACCCAGCAATACACGCATGCTGCTATGTCTGCAGCGTCTTCACAAGGCAAGTTGTATGAATCATCCTGCAGGCATTTCTTGGAACAAGTGTATGCCTTGGGATGATGCTATAGACATAGGAAAGTGAGCTTTATTTTGAAACTTAATCCTAAAAATTTGCAGGTACAGACGTTTCATTTTCTTGCTGAAGTTAAAATGTCAGTTGCTCTCAGGAGTCTTTTTTGCTATTCTCATCAATTGGTATTCAGGTCTTGTAAGGTGTAATGCTTCCTTACTTTGATTTATGTTAAGCAGCACTTGTACTGTCAGAAGTACAGAGTTCAGACCCTCAGCTGGAATTTCTGTTTCCAGGATCCAAGTCCAGTTGAGCATAACAGATGCGATTGTAATGGTGAAATCAGAACTTCAGGATGAATTGATATGAAAATAAGACTGTTTTTTTTCCAGGTTTGCTGATGTTGTCTAGTCAAGTATGGTAGCACCTCTTTCTCATGTTATATTGTCAAGATTTCCTAATGCTGCTTCTCAGAATCCTTACCAGACTCTTGGAAATCATCAGATTAGATTAGAGAGGACAAATCACTTGTTTGGCTTTGTGGGTTACCTGTGTATAGTGTGACGTGTGGGTAAGTACACTATAAAAGTGCAAGAGATGGAAGGTTATGTGTTGAGAGAGCATCTAAGAATTAAAAAGTAATCACAGATGAAGGAGGTATGCATAACACCCAATTTCAGATGCTTGGGCTATTGAATCCTCAGACCTGTTTTGGATGAATGAGATTCCTGTTGCTGGATATACCACTTCTTGGCCCCCTATTAATAGAGCAGGAGTAATTCTAGTTTCTTTTCAGGGCAGAAAGCATGTTCAGAATGTTTATTTTTATGTCCAAAGTCATGGTAGGAAGGATGAGAGAATGAGGCATGACAAAAAGAAAGAAATAATGGATTGTACCAGTTTTCAGGTGACTATTCTTCACGGTGATCTGAAGTGCTTTCTTGTCTTTCAGTGAATGCTTGTGTAACTGAGCTTGCCTTTGCTTAATTTCGGGTGGATGGAACAAGGATAGTAGAGAATAAGTACTGTAATATCTGCAACATAACTTTGGTTTCCCCAGGTGTTGCATTGTCTCACCTCCAGGGGAAGATCCATGCTAAAAAGCTGAGGCAGTTAGCAGAAAGGAGAGGCCTGATGGAAGCACGGAGCATGCAACCTGTTTCTGGTAAGAACTAAGTTTGCACTGCATGTATTTTCCTGTCACCTTCTGCAACAGATATAAAGAGGTGTTGTCCTACACCTGCGTGTCTGTATGCTTCTCTGTTCTGCCTAAGTCACAGAGCTGTCATGTGGTAACTCCTTAGGTGACAGAAATATTGTGACTACCCTGTAGAGCTTTGAAGCTAGGGAAGCCTGCCTTCAAGTTTCTTATCTTTCTAACTAAAGGCAAATATTTCTGATTATTAATGGACATGTTTACTGTTGCTCTGAATATTAAGTGAGGTCCAAACTTAGTATATTTAATTAAAAAAAAAATTAGTCTACAAGCAACAGTGAACTGATGTGAGTGCTGTGCAAGTTGCTTTCAGGATTGAGCATAGCAAATGTGCTCTGAATCACCCTCTGTAGGGTAAAGCTTTCTTCTTGGACCTTAGAATGACCAGCCATCAAACACATAGATATTAATACAGGTATCTAATAATGAGTTTTCTGTTCCTTCAGAAACTGAGATGCCTTCATCGTCTCCAAAAGCAAGCTTGGATCTGAACTACTGCTGGCTCTGCTGTGTTCCTTTCAATAGTCCACTCTCAGCGCAGGAACATTATGTTGGTAAAAAACATGAAAAAAATGCAGCACGGAAGAAGATAATGGAGGAGCTGGGAATCCAACCTGTCCCTAGAGAATCCAGAACAACTGGTAAGCAGAATGTGAAAAAGTGAGGGCAGCTTGAGTGTTCAAGGGGCAGCTCTGATGTTTGCAGGGAAATGTCCTGTAGCAAAGGAGAAGGCTAACAAGTTCAGTTCTTCCTTTCTGTTTAGTTTGCCATCCTGAAGTTCTTTGTCTCTGGCAATTTTAGATGGGAAGATATTTCCTATTGACTTTGAGACACTAATCCATAATTTGACTCGCTGGAGTCAAGTCAAAGAGATTATAAAAAATAGCTCAGTTTCTTAACTCCAAGGCCAGGATCAAATCAATCTTAAGACCTTCTGTGCTAGAAACTCCACAACAACCTCCCAACATTTCCCAAGAATTCTTGAGCTTTACCTTCTTGATCTTAAACCCCTTTACTGACACTGAAATCAACACCTATGACTGCAGTGTCTCTCTTCATTCTGCACAGAGCAAGAAGCAGACATAAAAATTGAATTGTTCATTTCCTTTTTGTTGCATTCATGCCTTCCCTTAATCTTTGTTCACCAACCTGATAGCTGTAATTATTTCAGTCTTGCCCCACAAGGAAACTTGTTTCCTAAATGGTTGTTATTCTCAAGCCTTCAAAGGCCCCATTACTGTCTTCTAGTTTACAATGTATGCACTAACAGATTGCATGATAAATAGAGCTGTTACACACACTATTGTGCCAACATTATTACCTCTGAGAGAGAGAAAAATTAAACACAAGATGTGAAATAGAAAAGATATCATGTAACAGACTTAAGGTATTACAATACACTTGGTATGAAGTCGTATAACAGAAGACAATGAATGTGACACTTGAATAAAGAACTGAACCAAATTAACAGTTTAGTTTCAGTTCTTTGGAATTGTGATTGAAGCAATCATTTCTGCCTATGTGCTGAAGCACAATTTTGAAAACAGAAAAGTGACTTCTCAAAAACCATTCTTTCAGATAATGTTTCTGAGTATTAAGGAAGTTCTTTCACACCTTTTCTATACCAGCTCCTTTTTAGTTCTTTCTGTGACCTACCAGTGACAAACATGAGGTCAGGAAACTAGATTTTCATTTTAATTTTATGTTTAGCAGTGTTATTGACTGACTAGGCAGCAAAATAAAAACATATCTTTATCCTTGGTAACAATCCACTTTGTTTAAAAAAAGCTTTAATATTAAGGACTCTTCTTGAATGCTATTAAACAACAGATTTAAAAGGAGAGTAGGACCTGCAGCCTTTTCTTTTTGTAAGATAACTTAGAGGCATGTTAATCTATTTCTATTAAATTGATCTACCATGGTGGCATTAAAGGATAACAAGTGAGATAATTCAATTGTTTACAAAATGGCAAATAATTCCCTTGGAGATTCCTTCAAAAATCTCCCCTGATTCCATGTATCTACAAGAAGGATAAAATTCTCTTCTGTGACACATATAATGCAACGGGTAAATGAGTTAGGTTAGCAGTAGGGTCATGTGGTTAGGTTGTGGTTGGACTTGATCTTGAAGGTCTTTTCCAACCTGAGCAATTCTATGACTCTGATTCTTCTAAGCCTTCCATCAGACCCATTCCAACAGCTCTGCTTCATGTGCTCATCCTTCATGTGCTGGGGCCACCAGGCCTGGACTCAGAGCTCCAGATGGTGCCTTAAAATGGCCACCCCTTTTTCGATGTAACCCAGGGTACTGTTGGACATCCAGGCTGCAAGTGCACACTGCTGCATCCTGTCCAGCTTTTCATCCACCAGACAAAAGAATAATTATCTATTTTGTTCAATGCAGCAGTCCATTGGAATCCGTGCTGCATTTTGCTAATATGTGAAGCTCCTGGGTTTGTGTTGGGGAAAACATTATTTGCTGTTTTGTTTGTTTAATACGTTTAAATCTTCGCAGCATGTGGGAGAGGAGAATGTGACGACCTGGAAGGCATAAGGTTCTCCTCATCTGACCTTAACTTAGATCTGTCAAAGTCTCTGCCCGGTGTGTTGTAACACAGTGTTTGACAACTTCCTCAGTGTCTGAAGAATGGTTACACTGCAGCAGTGCAGCTCCATTTATGAATGTTGGTGTGTAAAATTGAGTTACCTTGCAGCAGAGTCTTTGTATCTCTTCTGGAGCTGGTTTGGGGAACCTGATATTACATGTTATTGTGGAATGCTTTGGATTTGGCCTTCATTTGTAGTCTTTCTAACCTACAGGTTCCTTCTTTTCTGTGATTGGGCTTGGCCATTACATGTGCCCTGTTTGCAACGTTATACTTACAACTATACATGAGTACCAGTCCCACATGCAAGGAAAAAAGCACAAGACCAGGTAAGTCAGGAAGCCTTTTGTTACCCTGTAGCACATGCTTTCAAGTTCCTATGAAAGACTTTGCTTCTTCATTAGCCCTTTTGTGTGCTGTCGAAGACCTTCCAGTTAACTGTTTTTTTTTATCATTATTTTGTTGGTTTTTTTCCCCACTTGATTCTGTTTAGTTTTACTGTCTTTAGGAGTGACTGTCCATTTAAATTTCTGCTTATGTCTGATGTTCTGTCTTGCAGTTGCCACACTTGCATCTTCAATGGCAGCTCACAGAAAAGGTTTTGGAAGTTGTGGTTTTTTCACATACTTTTCTATCCCCAAATATTTGCTTCTTTGAAAACAGTAGCACCTATTTTGGCATAGTGTCTTCTGTGCTTAGTCAGTCTTTTGGGAAATGGTCTGAACTTTAAGATTCCTACTGACAGTAAATAAGGCTCTAATACTGGAAAGTCTCCATAGACTGTGTCACATTAAGGGTTCATCATGCATCTTGTTTTGTGTTTGGTGTCAGATGTTGTTTGGGATAGATGATAGCTCTTCCTTTCCCTTTCACCTAAAGAAGAGATTGTAGCTTATCTTAACTGTGGAATGGCAATTGCACACCTTTTATCACTGCCTTTTTGAGATTGCTCTTCAGGAGAGCCAAATATCAAAATTTCACTCCTGTTAAGCGTGGTTGGGAAGGCATATTTTATGTGAAGGTGCAGTATAGCATAACAGCAGTGTGACTGAATGTATTCCCTGTAACTTCAGTTGAGTTTTGCAGATAGAATCTTGTGTTAGAGGTTTCATGTAGATACACAGGACAGCACACTTGGAATAGGTCCTTTCTTGTAGCTCTGGAAATAGTTTTATTATGCATGTCTCTCTGCCTTCATGGCTAACTCAACAGATCCTAAGCAAGTTGATCAGTATTAGTAACTGTTCTTTCTATCCAGTTTATGCAGAGCGACAAAGATTCGCAGTCTCAGAAAGAGATCAAAGAAAACTTACTACTCCTTTCAAGCTCAGGAAGCCACATGTCTTGAGGAAAGAATGGATTTGAGAATAGCAGAAGAGTTTCAAGATGGAAGCCGTGGTGAGGTTAAGCCTTCAGCCTTTATCTGTGAACAAGACCAGCATTCCAACCTTTTCTCAGAAACCCAGACACCTACAAATACTGGGAAAAACAGATCACCACGTTGCTCATCAGCTGGTGAGCATGCACAAGAAAATACTGCAAATTGTCAGCATAATGCAGCACACTGTGTAGAAGGGCAAGCATGTGGGGCAGCTGCCACCACAGATGGCTTTGGTCTGTCAGCTGTAGAATCTAAAGAGTATTGCAAACTTGTGCTCGCTGAAACGTTTAGCATCTCCTACAGAAAAGAGCAGAACCTTCAGGTAGAATATACTGAGGAGAAAAAATACATCAGCGAAGAGTTGAGGTGTAAGAAAGAAGACTCAAAACTGAAAAGAAAGGAAGATAGTGAAGGTGCAGATTTGGAGAAAGAAAGAAAGCAACGAAAGCGAATTAAACCTGATGTAGACTTAGTAAATGAGGAGAAATCAAGACCTAATAAAGATGAAAGGCTTAAAAAAAAACCTGCTAAGAAACAGAGAAAAAAACGCGTAAAGAATCAACAGACGTCCCAGATAAAGATCAAAACAGAACATGGGGCATTTTGGGAGGACTCTGGCTTTATATTCTGGTGAGGTTTTGATTAGCTTCATGAGCCTGCTCTGATTTGCAGGTTATCTTTACTATTTTGTATCATACTATGGCTGTTGTGGTTTTTGTTGGTTCATTTGGTGGTTTTATGTTTTTTTTTTGTTTGTTTGTTTGTTTTTTTAAGCAAAGTTGGGGTTTTCTTGGCAGTGAGAAAAAGCCTGTCTTTTGCAAATGGTTGGTAGTAGGCATGCATCAGTTTTTAATGATGTTACCCGTACAGCAGCCATTGTAGTGATGCAAACTTGAAAATATGAAGGCTCTTCTTGAAAATGCCTCAAGAAAGAGTCAGTAGCTTACAGAACGCTCTTGGAAATTCATCAGAATGTATAGCTTTATTTTCCTAATATTAATGGTGCCTACTGTGGTGGTTTTGTTTTGTTTTGTTTTTTTTTCCTACGAAGGTATGTAACCTTGGTAAGATCTGTAAGGGCACACATTGCTCCCAGGCAAAGCCATATCTGTAACCATTCCACTGACTGCTTTTAAAGGAGAGTGAGGAAGGCTTTTGATCCCAGAATGAAGGTAGATTTGTGACTCGGTGCTCTGAAGAACCAGCAACGCTTTGCATTTGAAATAGTGTCACCAGAGCTTCCTTCATAACAGGTTTGCATTGTTGTGGCACGTAGAACATATGTAGGACACCAGTTAATGCATCTAAAAGCAATGTCACGAGACATCATTTAGTAACACCCAGTGCCTTCAGGTTGCAGAACAGCTTTTCCTTAGCCTTGATGTGGGTCTGAAAGCCATTCTGTTGTCAGATTGCAGCACTGGGTAGCCTGTTTGTAGAGGCACCTGTGCTGAGCTGCTGCTTTCAGCAGCTCTGCCCAACTGAAACTTTTTGTTGTGGGTTGTTGTAGTGTGGGATGGGGTAAAGACCAAGGCCCTCAAGCCTTGAATTGTCTGGTTTGTTTTAGTCTTGCATTAAGAAGTTGTTTCAAAAGCCTTGAGAATAATGTAGTGTGGGCTTTTGGTGTGTTATTTCTTATAAATTTGTTTTGTGGTTGGTTGCAATCTTGGCTTTAGGTTTCTGGTTATGAAGTTATAAATCTGAGTGGTCAAGTAAGGCCATGATGTGGTATTCTGCATATACAAAAGAAAAAGCTCTGTTGAAGGGAAATAAGTGTCAATTTACTTGCTTTTGAAATAAGACTTGCAGTGTTGGAAGTCAGGAGGAGATCAGCAGCTCTGATAATACAGCAAAAGCATCATTTGGGAGTTAATCTCTATCAGTGATCGCCTCCAAATCTGTGTTTGAACTCCACTCTGTCCTGCCCTACCTGGAAAAAAGTACAAGCTACGTGCAGGACACATGCATCTGCTACTCTAAACATAACTCCACAACTTTCTTGGCATCAAAGATGATAATAAGATCCTGAAAGAAGTACTCTTGCTGTATTTTGGTGAAGCAGTGATTAATCTTTTATGTAAATGCTGCAAACAGGACGTAGCAGGTTCTCGTCTACCAGAAGCATGCAAAAAATACAGCCTGAATTCAGATAAGTGATGCTCATTTTTCTGAAGTCATCTGGTTGTGTTTCCTCACTGTGTTGTTCTTAGCCTTTAATGTTGATGATAATTATTTCCAAGCCTAGACATTTAAAAATATTAGGCATATGGGTTGATGGTTTTATTTGCCCTTCACTGTGAATGTCTTTTCTTTTTCCTCTTCTTAGTAGCAGAGGAATCCGCGTTGGCAGCTGATTCTGTTCATCTCTTACTCTCATTAAATTTATCTGTTCTGATTTGAGAAACAAACTGAGTCGTGGATCTTTGTCACACCTGGACAGATACAGCAGCAGATCTACCTGGTGACCCCGTGGAGTTTTGGCAGCAGGTGCAGGGGTTTCTCCCTGAAAGCAACGTGGTCTTCTGAAATATCTCACTTCTTAATAATGTTAAAAATGTTTTCCCTTCTATGTCTGCAGCAGTATAGGAAAACATTTCTTTTGAGATCCTAATGTGTTTAAAAAACACCACAATTCAATAGGACATCTTGTAAAGCAAGCCAGAAGTCAATTTCACTTCTCATTTGAAGCCTTAAGATAATAGGAAGGACTGCTGAATTCATTTTGCATACCCCAAGTGGGGCTGTGGTTTCAGGGGGGCATGGTGAATGCTGGCACCTGGCGAGTTAACCCTACCCTTGGCCTAGGAGGCACACCCTTACTGTACCCAACCTGCTGAATTGTCTGAGCAGAGATGAGAGCCCTGGGCTCCCTGTAATCCCTACGGGCTACAGCAGGTCTGCACTTACACTGCTGAAAAATGTGGGTATTGCAAAAATGGGTCCCTCAAAAAAGTAGATGAGAGAAGCAGGTGCAGTGCTGTGAACTGTTCTGTAGGAAACGAGAAGTACAACCAAGAGTATTTCCCCACCTCCAAATAAACTGTCTCCTATTGCAGAGAATTTGGTTTCCAGCTGGAAGCAATGAACTGCTATTTCAGTGGTTATTTCTAGCAGAGCAAAGGTTCAGGCATAAACTTCTACTGAACTTTCTGAAATAAGAAAACATTTTTCTTAGAGCTGCAGGGAAATGCCTACCCAGGTTTGCTGCTACGTGCATGCTGGCATACCCTGCTGCTCAGGCACCAATATCAATTTCCACTGGTGATGGATGTTTGGGGTTCCCAAGTCTGAACTCCTGAAGCAGTCTGCTTTGCTCAGTGTGCTGAGTACCACTTGCATCATAGTCAGATTTTACTCTGTGAGCAGGGCAACACCAGGCAGAAGAACAGACTCTCCATTTACAGTCCTCCTTGAGCCTGTGGGTGCAGGTCCCAGCTATTTCTCTACTTGAGACATCAGTGTTCACAACAAAACCAAAACTTCAGCAGGGGTAAGGTGAAAGAATTGATGCACTGTGGCTTTTTTTTCCTCTGAGATCTGAGGGGAAAACTGAAAACTGTCTGTGGGTGGGAGAGGGGATTTAAAAGAAATCTTCAAAAGGAAGTAAGATTTCTTAGAATTAACAGTGGAACAGATCAAAGTGGTGTTCTGACACTGCTGCTGTTGTTGCACTGCACTACTTCTGATATTTAGGAGTTTAAATACAGTTGTCTTCCTTACAGCTTAGTGCGTTTTCAATCCATCTGCTTTATAGATTCTAGTTCCTTGGTCTGAACCACACACGTTGTCAATAGGATGCTGTGAGAAATAGATGTATATGATACTTTATAGTGAAGCTTTTTTCCACAAATATTTGTTCTTTAAGTCCAAGCTTCAAGAACACGACGGAGAAGCCGTGGTGAATTTACATATGCTTGTTCCTTCCTACCCTGCCTTTGGCCTTTTTCAAATCCATCTATTGTGGCTTAAAGAATCGCTCTGCCTTGCTCTACTTCCCCTCCAGCACTGATCTGTCTCATGTTTTCTGTTTCCCAGGTTGCCACAGTAACATTTCTCAGTTGCACAGTGCACTTCTATCTTTCTGGTCAAGTCAGTCACCTGGATGAGGTGTAGTGGGACCACAGAGATGTCAGGCTTCTCAGCATCTTGAAAGATTTGGCTCTGTGGCCCAGTTCTTAGAGATCATTAAAGGTGTTGCTACAACTTCATGCAAGTCTAAGACCAAAAGGCTCTGGAAGATGCCTTCAACTCTCTTTGTTTTTTCTTAGGCAACACCTTGGCTGACGTCAGCAGCAACATCTGCTTACGTCCTGGAATTCCTGGGTGAATAACTCTGGCAGTGTGACCCTGGTGTAGTTTTCAGGGCTCTGTAGCAAGACACCTTTGTACCTCTGATGCATATTGTGCTTGAATGTGCATCAGCAATTCCTTCGCACTTGATCCTTTTCGCTCCTTCCACTGTCACAGAACACTCCAGTGGGGAAGGACCCACAACGGCCATGGAGTCCAGCTCCCCACAGGACCGCTCAGAACACAGACCCGTGTCTCAAAGCAGTGTCCAAACACTCCTTGAGCTCCAGCAGCCCAGGGCTGTGCCCACTGTCCCGGTCAACCTGTTCCATGCCCTACGTTCCACCCCTCTGGTGCAGACCTTTTCCCTAACCCCCACCTGCTCCCTTGAATTTTCCCCTCAGTCTCCTCTGCTTTTGGCTGAATAAACAGAGGAACTTCACCTGTTCCAGATGTGGGGCACCCACAGCTTCTCTGGGCAACATGTGCCAGTGCCTCATCAACCCCTGAGTGATGAACTTCTTCCTAGCCTTTAAACTAAATCTCTCATCTTTGATTTTAAAGCTATTCCCTCTTTTTCTATCGCTCTCAGAACACATAAGAAGTCAGTCTCCTCCTGTCTGTAACCTCCCTTCAAGACTGCAAGCCTTCCAGTTCTCACCTAGCAGGGGAAGACCTCAGGCCACACTTGCTGCATGCCAACCCAAGCACGGTGCCTGTGGTGAAGGTGTGGCACCACCCAGGCCAGGCTGAGCATCACCCAGCAGCAAGCTTGCCAGGTGCCAGGGCACACACAGCCTTTCATCGTCCCACCCTGCACACGGTGTAGCAAAAAGCATCAGCGAGCAAGAGAGAGAGGTGAGTGCACAGCCGAGGGCTGGTGTCCAGCTGGGGCTCTGCAGCACAGGCTCACCCAGCCTCGCCTCATGTCTGCGTCATCTTTCGTTGCGATTCAGACGATGGGGTTCTAGCGACTGACTGAGTTTTAAGGTTATCAGTCAGCTTTGCGGACAAGCATGAAGGAAGTGAGGACAGATACCACAGCAGTGCTGTGCTTTTCCACAGCGTATCAGTGGGTGCGCTGTGGAGGCCAGCAGGTCTTTTTCTTTTCTCTTTGAATAATATTTTGTAAGGTGTTGCTGTGCAGGCCAACATCAGCAAGCATGTATCTTTGTGACTATGCTGCGGTATTTGCCAACAGAACGGGATCCTGGGCACTCTGATCTAGTGTTGGCAGCCCTGTCTGTGGCAGAGCATTGAAACTCAATGAAGGTTCCTTCCAACCCAAGCCATTCCGTGATAAAGCAATGGGAGCCCCCAGCAGGACTGACTTGTGTTCGTGTTCCAGACAGTGCTCAAGTATTACCATCAGCCAGGTCCTTCATCACCATGCTGGACGAACTGAGGAAAGGCAACACCATACCCAGGTGGCTGCAGCCACAACCTGTGCTCCTGCACTGCTGTTGGCTGTACATGGAGCACTGCAGCACCTACAGGTGTGCAGGGGACAGCTTTATCTTCAACAATCCCATGGTTCTCTATTGAATAAAGCACCACATTATTTCTAGAGATGCTGGGAAGAAGGGGCATGTATTTGGAAGAGTGTTATTTTTTTTTTTTCTCTCCTTTTTCTTCTAGCCTGTGCAATTCCGAGTAATCTCCTGCCTTTCTGTTCTCTTTCAGGAGAGGTTCAGGTGTGATGTTAGGAAAAAATAATCAGAAAGCGTGGTGAGGTCAGCACAGGATGCCCAGGGAGGTGGTGGAGACACTGTCCCTGGGAATGCTCAAGAGTTGGGTGGATGTGGCACTGAGGGATGTGGGTTAGTGGGCATGGTGGGGATGAGATGCTGATTGGACTGGGTGAGCTTAGAGGATTTTTCAACCTCAGTTCTATGATTGTTTTCAGGTTCCTGTGACTCCTGCCCACTGCTCAAACTGCTGAGAGCAGCTGCAGCAACAAAGTCATTTTGATTGCCCTGTGATTTAGTTCTTAATCACACCATCTTGTGTTAGTTTCATCAGTGGATGGAGGTGGTATGAAAACTGTCCTTGGATTGATACAGAGGGCAGCAGCTTTCTGCAGCTGCAAAGGATGCTGCTGCTGCATCCAGGAGCCATGTAGGGACTCTGCTGACGGTGAAAATACAGGTGTAGGAAGCCCTTTCCCTATGGCTGTACCATAATCTCTGGACTAATCCTTGCATTTCTGCTCTTTCCTGGTGCAAGTTTGGGACCGAAGAAGGTATTATATGTGAATATGTGGAGAGGGCTTTTTGTCAGTGTAATGCATCCCAACCCAGAGAGAGCAGACCTCTGAGATGAGATAGGACACATGGGCTGGAAATGAGGTAGTTGATTTATTTTTTGAAATTGGCAATGTTATAAAGTTGTTTGAGACCCCCTGTATACATTTCAAAGCTCCTTTCCATTTTAGAGACAGAGCTTGCAGACAGGAGAAGCACAGTAAAGAGGAGACTGTGTCTGTATGTGAGCTGTAATGTCAACTCAGAGCCCCACTCTTCAAGGTAGAATTCCCCCTGTTTCAGTGAGTATTCTGCAGACAAATAGCAAGGGAGTGAGTTTGGCCTGGAAAAAGGAGAAAAAGAGCACATCTTTTCTTTTTACCAGAATTTCTTTTCTACAGGATACCTAACGCTGTAAATGTGGGTGGGTTGTGAGCAGGAAATGATGAAATAGACAGTCCATCCTCTAACAGACAGATTTTATTGGTTACACGCACAACTAAGCAAAGCAAAGCAGTGATGTCCAGGCTGCAAGAACAAGACCTCACCAATCCGTTGGCCAGACGTCTTGGGAGTCTTGGGAACCCAGAGAAGGTTGCTGCAAAGGTCCATGTGGATTCGGCTCCATTAAGTCCAAGGCGATCACACGATCTTTGGTTTTGCTCCTCTATCAGCTTTCCAAGTCTCTGAGGCTGATAGCACCTTTGCCACCTTCTGATTCTGCTTTTCTGCACTCAGGTTTTATGTTCCCTTCTGTATCCTTCCAGAAGCACTGTCCTTGGCTTTCCCTAACCTTTTCTCCTCTGCTTAAGGAGTCTTAAATCACACAAAAGCAGCTTTTTGTCATTAGCATTTGGGAGAGAG